AATGTTAACCAAACATGTTTGAGTTTTTTAATCACTGTGTGATACTATTGAAGAAGTCAGTTGACAGTTCAGTAAAGAAAATGTAATTACTTACAGAAGAGGAATCACAAGAAAGTGGAGAGGAATCCCCCCAAAGTGGAGAGGTATCCCAAAAAAGTGAAGAAGAATCACAGAAAGATGAAGAATGTAAAAAAGAGGAAGACGAGGAATGTGAAGAAGATGAGGAAGATGTAATGAAAGTCTTGGGAAATATGGTGATGGCTATGTTTGTTAAGTACTGGATTTATGTCCTTGGAGGAATGTTCTTCTTTGTCAGCTTTGAAGGAAGAATTGTCATGTACAAAATCATCTACATGGTGCTCTTCTTGTTCTGTGTGGCCCTGTATCAGGTAAGTAATACAAAACCTAATTTTTGTTTAACATCTATGTGGCATAATAGGGTAAGTGTAAATTTAATTATGATAAGGTGGTTTAGCGATATGTAATGCACTTTTAGTATAGTTCTAAAACAGAGAAGTAAGGTTACATTAAAATAACAAACAAAATTAGACCATTAGATATTTTTTTTAATTTCTGTTGTTTTTCAGTAGATCACCAGGTTATACCATGGTCTTGTTGTTCGTATATGTTGTGCAGATGCTTCCCTTTTTGCCTCTTTTTTATCTTATTTATTTAGGTAATAAGCTTATTAGTTGTTTTTCCACTGAAATAAGTCCTCAAAGTGACTTACAATGTAACATAAAAATCCTGTAAATGCACTATGAGGAGACCGAACTACTGCAATGATGATTCGTTAACTTCAGTTAGTGCAGAGCGCTGGTGTTTGACTATCAATAATTCAAATCAGTGTTATCATAGGTCCCACTTTAAATACTTCCACTGGTTTGGATTGCCAGATACCTCAGCTCTGCAGACAGGGGCACAGACAGCAGAAATTGAGAAGAAGATCTTAACTGGCAGGCTGGGTAGTTCAGCATTCCTGGTATCATTGCCCCAAGCTGTTTAGGATATTAAAGGAAAGTACCTGCATTTTAAATTGTGCCTGGAAACAAACAGGCAGCCATTGCAGATCTTTCAGCATGGGTAATACGATTCCTGAATCCAGCCCCTGCCATATTTGAAGTTTCTTAAACAGTTTTCAAAGGCATCACCATGTAAAGCTCATATTATTGTTATTATTACATTAATATAGGGTTTGCAGTTGTTTGACATTATTTATTAATCCTTACAACAACCCTGTAAGATGAATGAATGCGATCATCCCCATGTTGCTGGAGTGGGGACTGGGGCTTTCCCAAGTATACGTGGTAAGCTCATGGAAGTAACAAAATTTGAGTTGGGATTTCCTGATTCGTAGCTCAGTCTCTTAGAAAAGCTGTTTGTTGATCACAGCAGCTGTCAAAGCAATGTGGATATGTAATGTGGTCTCTATGACAGTTCCTTATCAATCCATGGACTTTTCCTCCAACTGAAGCTCCCAAACAAGTCTTCATGGGCCACCTCACATCAAATACATTGCAGTAATTCAACAGGGAAGTTATCAGAGCACTCAAAAGGAGAGTGCTGAGAGCATGGACACTGTTATTAAGCTCTTAAACACATTGTTTCAGTCCATTTATTATTTCTCCTGGATCTGATGGGGGAGTGGTATAGCTGTGAGTCAGCTGCTTGTTGATGACATCTATAATAGCGAAGGCGCCCCCTGCGTGCGGATATCTAAATCTGCACATCAGGGGCACCTGGGGGCAGGGAGATTTTCCTGCATACTTGGGGAGTCCCCAGGGGTGCACAAAAGTCTAAAAAATATAGGGGGAATATTTAAATCCCCAAAAAAGTAAAAGAGCATTTCCTGCGCATGCGCAGGGAATGGTCTGGGAACTCTGCAGTGGGCTGGCAGCCGCTCAGGCCTCGCCACCGGTGGCGAGGTGGGGGGAGAGGAGGAGGAGATCGGCCGCCAGAGCCGAGACAGGGGGGAGGAAAGGAGACCGGCAGAGGATGAAGGAGCCAGGGGGGGAGAGATTGGCGGGGCCCAGCTGCTGGAAGCCTCTTAGGCCGCGCCACTAGAGCTGAGGCGGGGGGGAGGGAAGGAGATTGGTGGAGGGTGAAGGAGCCGGGGGGGGAGATTGGCGAGGCCCAGCGGCTGGAAGCTGCTCAGGCCGCGCCGCTGGTGTCCGGGGATGGGGGGGGGGAGGGCTTACCTGCTGCTGCCTCCTCCTGCTGCTCTGCGTGGAGATCTTCTCCCCCCCCCTTGAGTATCGCGGGTCCCCTTTCTTGTCATGTACTAAAACAATTAGCTATCTCTCTGTATAATATAGAGATGTTAAACAGTATAGGGGATGAGATGGTGTTCACAGTTAACTCTGCAAAGATAGAGAACAGTAGTCCCTTATTACAGTCCTCTAAACAGATGGAACAGACCCCCACCAAGGAGGTGGTAGCCTCACCTCACAGGCTTTCTGGATAGTTTAGACAGATTTTATGGTCTATTTTGTCCAAAAATATTAAGGGGACCCAAGAAGTAACTGTTGATTTCTATCTACATATAACCAACTACTGCTTTTTTCAGTTCTGAATACTTGGGGAAACTAAATAGGTGTGGACTCAGAAAATTAGCATCATCTAAGAATGTCTATAGCTGCCTTACTATAACTCCCTGGCCACGAAAGGCAAATTATACATGGGCCTAAAATTACTCACATTTTAAATGTTCAGTTAAAGACTGTGTAATCAAGTTTTTAGCATGGTGCTTTCATTGATACACAATATATATCAATGCAGCTAATAATCTGCAAAATGCTTAATTAATTGTAATCATTTAAAATTTCTAATTCTCAGGTGCACTATGAATGGTGGCGGCGAATTCTGAAATATTTTTGGATATCGGTGGTGGTTTACACAATGCTAGTGCTTGTCTTCATCTACACATATCAGTTTACATCATTTCCTGGATTGTGGAGAAACATGACAGGGATGAATGATGCGCAGTTAGTATTTTCTATTAGTTTTATTTTGCTTGAGCAAGTGGATGATGGATTTTTGTTTATTTATGTATTTACTTTATAGTCTTTCTTTCACTGAAGCTCAAAACAGATTACCAGATATAAATCAATGATGTCAAATAGCATGAGATATCTAACGAACAACGCATTAAGACTAGGATTACAAAAATTAGAAACAATGGCAAGATGTTAGATATGATACATCAAACAATGCATAAAATGGTATTACAAAAGTAGAAAGCAATGTAAGAAGAGCAGGATGATACCTACAATAAACAGATAATACCTTACACAGCAGTATAGACTACAGTCCTGTTTCCTTTCAAAGTTCCTTCCCAAACCATTCCATTTTACTATAGCCCTACTAGGAACTTATGCTGATTTTCCATAGCTGTCCCACTGAAGTGAATGGAGGTTGCTCAGCAGCAGTAGTTCCTGGGATCTTGGTTGCCCAGTTACACTATGATATGTATCTGTACAAATTAGGTGAATGTTGGAACTTCTTGAATTCCAAGTTTAATTTAGTACAGAAGAGAAATCCTGCAAACACAACTATGATCTGCACTAGAAGGAACAGATACAAAACTCATCAAGACCCATTCTAGAAGCTCTTCTTTAAGTTCCTTGTAGCTATAAAGGAGGTCCATTATTCCTTTTCAGTTCTGTATATCTTTATCAGATTAGTGGGGTTCTCAAAACTGCATTTTTATATTCTTTAAAAGAAATGCTGATAATACCAGTAAAGAATGTGCCTTCTGAGGAATAAGAAATATGGCCAAGTACATTTTGCTTAGGTAATTTAGTTATCTCTTACTCTGTTTTGTATTTCAGACTAAAGGATCTTGGGTTAAGAAAGTTTTCTGTCACAGAGCTTTTCACCCGTATCTTTATTCCAACCTCCTTTTTGTTGGTGTGTATATTACACCTGCATTACTTCCATGACCGCTTCCTCCAACTTACAGACTTAAAAGTTGTAACCAGCAAACAAGACAGCACCATCTACAGGTAAAAAAAGAAAGGATTTACTTTTTTTAACTTTTAGGGTCTCAAGGTCTTGGCCCTCTGAGGTATGTGAGTTCTTCGCTTCTCCTACCAGCCTGGAATTCTAAATGCACTGCTATTGTTCAAAACTTATAGTACAAAGAAAACTGTTCACTGCCATAGACTGTGTAATTCCTTTTGACAGTGTTCCATTTCCAGTCGTGAAGTTTTGCAACTGCTCAGTACAGTTGTAGAATCTCCTGGCCTGACATAAAGTATCAGTGGACATAGTTACATAGTCTATGAGATATATGGTTTTTCAATTTCCAGACATGCTTGAATATGTCAGAGTTCGGCTGCTTGCTTTGGGGTAAGAAGAGATGAGGCAAGTGGCACTGGTTGAGAGGGTTCCCATGGGCAAACAAGCAAAGGTTTTTCACTTCAGGTTCCTTTCTGGTGGATAAAAAAGATCCTTGATTTGAGAAAATCAAACAAGTTTCTGAAGGTTTCTAAGTTCAGAATGGTTTCTCTTTCATCTGCAATCAAGTTACGTACCCCCAGCTCCTGGTCTGCTGTCTTGGACCTTAAAGATGAAGAAAGGTTAACCTATGAAGAAAGGTTAAAACGCTTGGGGCTCTTTAGCTTGGAGAAATGACGGCTGAGGGGTGACATGATCGAGGTTTATAAGATTACGCATGGGATAGAGCAGGTTAAAAAAGAAGTACTTTTCTCCCTTTCTCACAATACAAGAACTCATGGGCACTCAATGAAATTGCTGAGCAGTCGGGTTAGAATGGATAAAACAAAGTATTTCTTCACCCAAAGAGTGATTAACCCATGGAATTCACTGCCACAGGAGGTGGTGGTGGCTATAAGCATGGACAGCTTCAAGAGGGAATTAGATAAGCATATGGAGCAGAAGTCCACCAGTGGCTATTAGCCACAAGGTATAGATAGGAACTCTCAGTCTGGGGCAAGTGATGCTCTGTAATCTTGGTGCTTGGGGGCGAGCAACAGTGGAAGGGCTTCTAGTGTCCTGGCCCCACTGCTGGACCTCCTGATGGCACCTGGTATTTTTGGCCACTGTGTGACAGAGTGTTAGACTAGATGGGCCATTGCCCTGATCCAACATTGACCTCTTTTCTGTTTTTATGTTAAGATGCCTGTTTTCACATTGCAATTCATCCCTTAGACAGAAAATATTTTTGCATCAGGCAAGTCTTAGAAATTTTTCAGTATTGGCTCTCCCATTTGGCCTTGCTACTGCTCCTAGGGTTTTTACTACACGCATGGTGGTAGTTGTGGCTCATTTAAAGACTAGGTGTTGTACCATCTTCCGCTATTTGGATTATTGGCTTGTGTAGCCCACTCCCAGGAGCTTCTGAGAGCTCATTTGGGTGTGATCCTTTCCACTTGCATAGACTTAAGCTTAGTAGTCAAATGGGAGAAATCCTGCTTGGAGCCTTCCTGACAGGTCCAGTTTATTGGGGCATCATTAGATTTGTTGCAAGAGAGGGCTTTCTTACCCCTGGATAGGGGAAGTCTATTAAGGTTATGGCTCCATCTTTTCTTTGAAAAGATGGCAGTCAGTTAAATCTGTCCAACACCTATTGGGCCTTATGGCATCTACCACGGTGCTTATCAGCATTTTCCCCAGGGCTATTCACATAGCAGGAATCCTGAATACTGTGGCCTCAGCAGAGTTTATCTTACCAACCATGAGTAATAAATTCAGCCCAAATATCTTCAGTGAGTTTTCAAGAGGTGAGAGACCCCTCAGGTGGACCTCTTCGCCACATCTGAGATGAGGAAGGCACCACAGTTTTGTTCCCTTGCAGGCAGTGACCCAGGCTCATTGGGAGACATGTTCCAAATCCCTTGGTTGTGGATTCTGTTCTATCCTTTCCCTCCCTTTCCCCTCCTGAGCAGGGCTATCAGGAAGCTGATAGCATGGGACTTGGACTGTATTCTGATAGCTCCCTTTTGGCTGTGCCAGATTTGGTTCTCTGAACTCATCCACCTTGCGAGTTCAGAGTACATCACCCTTCCCCCAACCCCGGATTTACTAATAAGGGGGCTTATTCTGCACCACTGTGTGGCTTGCTTACACCTTATGGCATGCAGTATACACCTATAGAGTTGCAGTTCTCACCTGAGGTGCATGATATCGTAGTCCAGGCTAGAAAATCCTCTACCAAGTCCTTAGTGTTCCATCTAAGCTGAGTTAGTGTGAGCTAGCTCACAGTTTTTTAGCCTCTGGCTCACACATTTTTGTCTTAGCTCAGGAAGGATGGCTCCAGAGCAAACTAATTTATGCAGTAGCTGAATAGCTTACTCGCAACTTATACTCTAGGAAGTGGATTCGGTTTAAGTCCTGGGCTCAGTCCAAGGGATTTGTCACCCTTTACCTGTCCCTTTCCTTTAGTCTTGGAATACCTGCTTTCCCTATCTGATAAAAGTATAGCTGTATCTTCTGTAAAGGTCCACTTGGCAGCCATTTCAGCATATCATGAGTGTGTAGGGGGCTCTTTGGCCATAAGCTGTTGCAATGTTTTCTCAAGGGTCTGCTCTATGTGTTTCCCCCTGCTCCTCACATTGCTCTGCAGTGCTCTCTCTCCCTGGTACTGGCTCAGTTAATGAAGCCCCACTTTGAGTCTTTGGCTTTTTGCCCCCTGGCCTTGCTTTCCAGGAAAGTAGTTTTCCTGGTAGCAGTTACCTTGGCCAGGAAAATGAGTGAATTAGTGGCTCTGAGGCTAGATCCCCCCTGTTCCTGAAGGTTTTCATTGAAACGATTCTGGGTGGGTAAGGCCTTGTTTATTTGCTACTGGGGCTCGAAGAAGGGAAGGGCTGCTTCTTCCCAATCCCTCTCTAGGTGGGTAGTAGCTGCCATCTGTTCCTGCTATGAGGCAGCTGGACAGCCATACCTGTTAGAGATTAATGCATAGTTCACACGGGCACAAGGTTCCTCAGCTGCTTTCCATAAGGAGTGTCCTGCTGATGGACATCTGCAAAGCTGCAGTGTGATCGGTGGAAAACACATTTGTCAAACAATTAATTGTTGGACCTGCAAGGAAGGAAGGATGTGGATGTGGGTAAGGCAGTTCTCCAGTCACTTTTCCAGTGAAAGCTTCACCCTGCCTCCTTCAGTGAGTAGCTTGCTAATGTCCCAATGTGGGGCTAAATTGAAGATGGAAGATGAGAACAGAGTTCCACTTACCTGTAACTGTTCTTCATCAACATCTTCTGTGCAGACACACATTCCCTCCTTCCAGCCCCGCTGAGAACTCTCACATGATCGTGCTTAGTAGTGTGTTTGCTTGCAGCGAACTGGCAGGAAATGAGGGAAAGGGGGTGCCCACCTCTGGAGCATGTGGCAATTTGGGCAGGAAAAACCGTTTGTGTCAGCTCCGGAGGGGGAGGGGCACCCCAGATGGCTTTATAGCTAGAAGAAAATCTGTCCGTGGCTGGCCTGCTCAGGCGCCAGTCCCAGTGTGTGTCTGCACAGAAGATGTTTATGAACAAAAGTTACAGTAAGGTGGAACTCTGTTTTGATCTGATACGTTAACCCCATCATTAGGATCACAGTTATCTTTACATTGCCCTCTAGATCTGGTGCCCTCTATATCTGGTCTATGTCTCTCTGCCTTGGGTTTCACCACGTGCTACTGAACCATGGGCACCGTCATTTATGCCTCTTTTCTGTGTAGTTTTGTACTCAGCCAAGCATTGCAAATAGTCTGTTGTATACGAGTCTGAAAAGGCTAAGGCGGTAAGGGTAAAAAGAAGAAAAGGGAGGTAAAACAGCAGTATTCTGATTCCTTTACCTGTTCCAGTCACTGAACTTATGGTGATACCTGTTGCCTCCATTCTGGCACCAAGAGCTCTCCCCCAATTCAGATACATCAAGCTGGTTCTTGAAAAGTTTCAAGAAATTCTTACACAAACCTTCTCACATTGAGGCAGTATGGAGGGTTACGTCTTCTCAGACCGGGAGACAGAAGACACCATGTCCTTCTTTGTGCCTCCTCCAGTCTGGTTGTCAAATATATTAGTTTTAACTTCTATGTTCCATTGCTATCCTAAGAGGAGCTTTTCAGTATAAGATGAAAGGACATTTGCAGAGTTTGGACTACTATCCAATCCTATACATATTTTACTAGTTTAACTAGCAAGTGCCATTAATTTGAATTAAAACATAAATCTTGTTCTTGCATTTACGTTGTTTTTACTTATGGTTATTGGAAACTCTTTAATCCATATCACTAACAGTGTACACAGAACAGAAGCACCCTGTTGGATCAGAACAATCTATCTCTGTTTTGCCAAAGGCCTTTAATGGATTTTTGGGGGGGGGTCATAGAAGCTCACAAGGGCAAGGTTATCTTGGCAAAACAAATGTACTTTATTTACAGAAAAGAAACAGTCCACAGTATACACAAAGATAGCTGTCCCTTTCAGCCCTCTTAATTGCTGGGGGCTTCCTACAGCAAGGGTCACATCTCTGCATGTGGTTCCACAGCACCTCCGGTCTCTGGTGAAGCCCCACTCACTACTGTTTCCTCTTCCTCTTTTATACATTTCATCCTATTGGGTGCAGCCGCCCAGGACTAGTAAAACCTGGCAGTCATGCTGAGTCATGCCAGCTTGGGGTTAAGGTTTGCAGCTGGAAGTCTTTTATTAGGGGGCTGAATGCCTAGGAGGAAATAATCCTGCAGCTGTTTATGGGTATGGAACCAATTGCCTGTATGCTCAAAGCCAGCCTAAGGTCACCTGACCACACCATTCCCTAATCCTCCTTGGGGTTTCTTCCGCATTGGCACTACAATCACCATTCTGTTTCTCACAGTGGCTGACCAGAAACTCTAGAAGGGCCATGGCAGGGGCAGAGAGGGCAACATGTCTCTCTGCTGCTCCTCCCCCAACAACTGCCATTGTGGTGTATTATCCTTCAACATGGAGGTCCCACTCATCCATTATAGAGGATAATTATTGAGGGACCTACTCTACATGAATATTAATAACAT